GCTGCATGCTGGAGGTGGAACAGGGGAAATCGTTTTCGTTCTCTATTTAACCTTGGACTCTTCCTATACATTTCATTCTATTGCATTAAAGTTGGCCTGTAAGATGCTGGCTTGCCAGACCTGTATATTTTTCAACTTGCCAGACACATAATCCATGGGACTTTTAGTATGTTGTTTAGAACGTTACTCCTCGTACATTTTTGTTAAGAAATGCTTGTATAGAATTTTTTCAGGTTCAACATCTAACTTGCCTACACTACTTATATACCACCCGATTTGTTATAAAGTTTTTTCTGATCAGCAGAAAGAGTTTTGAAAACCTGGATCATGTCCCCACGTTCTTGTCTAGAGATGATATTTGAAATATTCCTAATCCGGATATGATAAATGTCTAGTTTCATCAGAAAATTTTGTCATTCTTCTCTGGACTCTTTCAAGGACTTCAATATCGTTAACAAAATATGGACTCCACATTAAACAGGCATTACTCTATTTTGGGACGAACATAGGTTTTATACAGTTTAGATACCATTTCTACTAAGGTATTACAGAATGCTCGTTGTATAAGGTAAATGAGTGTATTTGCCTTCTTAGCAATATTTGAAATGCGAGGTTCCCACTTTAAATCATCACTGACAAAAATTCCAAGATCTTTTTGCTGTTCCACACTTTGTATCAAAGAATTGCCAAGCTGATACTGAGTATGAGGATTGTTTCTCCCCAAATGAAGAACTGTTAGAGTTAAGGCGCAGGATTTATTTTCTAGTCCATTCATGTATTACTCCTAGGTCTTCTTCAATCTGATGTTGCATAGGGTTGCCGAACAATTTAGTGTGGTCAGCAAAGTAGGTAAGCTATAGACGATGTTACCTTAGATGATAAATCACTAAGATAGGTTATGAACAGTAATGGCCTCAACACTGAACCCTGAGAAACACCGCTACGCACATTATGACCAGATGAAAGTGTGTTGTTGGCACGGACCACATACGTTCTGTTCCGAAGAAAACAAGGTATCCATTGCAAGAGTTCACCAAAATGATCCAACTTGTACAATAGTCTTTCTATAGGCACCGTGTCAAACGCTTTCTCGTAATCCAAATAGACAACATCAACCGGCCGTCCCCCATCTACATCTTGGGTCCATTTGTTCAAACATGACAACAAATTTGTAACTGTTGATCTCTGTAGTAGGAAACCATGCTGACTGTTTGGTATAACATTGTTCTCCAACAAAAAGGATGTTAATTCTTTAGAAATTGGTTTTTCCATTGTCTTACATAAAGCACAAGTGAGGCTAATTGGTCTAAAGTTCTCTGGATTGAATTTGTCGCCTTTTTTATACAGCGGAGTGACGATCGCCTCAGACCAAAATCTTTGGAAACACTCCGTTCCGCAAAGAATCGTTCATAGCCACTGTTAAAGGTTCACTAAGAGAATCAGCGCATCTCGATAAGAAGAGAGCTGGAATAAAATCTGGCCCGGACTAGCGTCTTTCTTTACATCTTTTAACACTTCGTTCATTAGTTCTGGTGAGAAATTAATGGTTCTTATTTCATTAACTGACCTAGTATCTACTGGCAAGCTGGGGAAATTATCCATTGTTTCTGTCGTAAATACTTTGCTTGAGGAAACTCTCCCTCCAAAACTCCGGGAAAACACCTCTACATAATGACAAGTTGAAAATGTGGTAAAGAGGCCTTGATTAAAATAGAGTTTTTTTTAGAAATATGGGTGATACCCCATCTGGACCAGGGCCTTTGTTAACATCTAGCATGGATAATTTAGTGTATAATATGTCGGATATTAGTATATGATGATTCAGTATATGATGATTCGGTATATGAGCTATAGATGAAGGCAAATCATGGTGGTTATTCGAATAGACTGAGGAAAAATAATCTGCAAACATGTCCGCAATCTCCCCAGCCGAACAACTTGACCTGTCACTATATTTAGGTTTGTTAGAAAAAGCATTGCTCTTCCTTTTATTATTTACACAAGACCAGAATTTTTTTTTGTTGGAGTTCATAGCCATTTCGGTCCCGTGAATATAATTTTGATAGCATTCTTGTGTCAAGCTCTTGCACAGCTGTTTCAACCTAGAAAATTCACGATAATCCACGTCAGAGCGAGATGACTTGTATTTGCTATGAGCTTTTTTCTTTAGAATTACATAGTTTTTTAAGTCGAATGAAAATCATAGTCAGTTTATTGTCTCAAAACAAAATGTTGCTGACAAAGCCGTACTTAAATAAAGTCTAAAACTAACACTAAAATTAAAAATTAAAACATCACTCAGTTAAAACAGAGAATAAAAGAACAAAAAACAGAAAAAACAAGTCTTTACCAAGGCATGAAACACAGACAAAAAAATAAAATAAAAATAACATTCGCTTTTCTTACATATAAAAGTTGACTCATTACAAAAGAAACGATACCAAACATACATTGTCACTCGCTGTCAAAAACAAAGGTCCAATATTCCTCAACCAGTTACTATCCTTTCATTAAAATATTCTTTGAGACTATAGTATGCTTTATCAACCAAAAAAGCCTTAACCTGTTTCCTAAAACTTTTGTAGCATCCAAGCTTTCTTATTTCAATTGGAAGATGATTGAATAGTTTTTTACCTTCATATATAAATGATTTTTACACCAGTTGGGAATGAGGTATGGGCAAGCCGAGAAGAAATGACTGACGAGTATTATAGTGTTTGTCCGCCTTTCTCTCAGCCCCGTATTTCCTGAACATCATGCACACCGTTTCCATTATAAACATCGAATAAAGCGTAAGGATAGCATGACTGATAAAAAGAGGGCGACAGGAATAACGAGTCCTTACTCCGAATATACAACGGACTGCCCTCTTCTGAAGCAGAAACACTGAATCAAAAAGTGAACGGGTGCAGCAACCCCAAAAGCTTAGGCCATATCGTAGGTGAGATTCCACCAAAGCGTAGTATGCATTCTTAGCAACCGAGACATCCAAACTCCTCGATATCACTCTTAAGGCATATATTGGGAACTTTCTAGCAGAGAACTTTTTCAAAGGTGTAAATTTATCAATGTCAATATAGATAATTTCATAAAAATATTTAACATTGTATCAAGAGTTTGATTACAAAGTAAAAAGTCCCAGGTAAACTGATTAAGGAACATAACAGTATCCTGAAAATTAGTAGAATAAAAGTCTCTATAAAAGCCGTCAGATTCAAGATAGTTCTCAGTAGTGTCGGAACAGTTAGCTCTCAAAATAACACTTAAAGGTGGGTGAACAACTCGAAGAATTAAGAAAGAGTCAGTAGATTTAACTTCGGTTGAAGAGTCTTGTGTAAGAATCAGGTCTAGGAGACTGTTGTGAGATGATAAATATTTATTGACTTGGAACAAGTTATGAAAGTTATATATGTTTGATATAATCCCAACACGTGCAATATCCGAAGGCACAGTAGCAGTCACTGAAGAACTGTAGTTGTCCCTCCGCCATGAGGCGAGCGGCAAATCAAAGTCACCAAAAACATGTAGGGTGGAGCCAGGTATTTGAAGTGCAAGTGAGTCCAAGGTTTCAGAAAATGTAGCATATACTTTAGCTGATGAGTTGGGAGGGATATAGATTGCCCCTAAGATTAAATTTGAAATTCCAGATTCAATAGCCACAAAAACTTGTTCTATGTCATCTGCAACAACAAGACGTTTGCTAGTTAAAGATTTATGAATTGCTATTAAGACTCCTCCCCCTCTTGAAAAGATACTGGATTTGGCCAGCCGGTCCTGGAGATGAATGTTAACGTCAGTGAAATCGAGTTCTGCATCATAGATGCCACTATGCAGCCATGTTTCCGTTAATACAAATATGTCGTGATGACAGGCTATGGTATTTTGTTGGATTAAATTTAGTTTGGTTCTTAAGCCTTGGGTGTTCTGGTAATACACAGATAAACCTCTAGTGGACTCGGATTAATTTTGTTTTTTTGTATAATTTTAGGAACTCCATGGAAGTATTTGATTTTGAACTCACTTTCCCCATTGGACAATCTCTGTCTAAATTCGACCCTAACAATTGTATCTGCTCTGGCCTGAGATTTGGTTAAATCGGGGCTGACATAGATGTTTTTACCCTTAAGTTTGGGTCCAGAGCGAAGAGCAAACTGAGCAACTTCCTGCTTATGCAGAGTTACTTTGAGACACTCACGACCATTTTTGTAAGGTAGTCCAATTCTCACTACATTCTTTACCTCAGGTACAGGTATGTCTAGTGATTCAAGGAGGCTGATAACATCGTCGTGATCTTGATTTTGGTCTGGCAAGTTGTAGACTATAATATTGTTTACTCGGCTCTTGCGATCTTGAAGTTCGGCAAGAAGGTCACTATTCAAAGGTCCAGTATTATTGCTGGTGGGAGGGATGGACTTTTGATTTAATTCGTCCCTTCGCAACTGCATCTCAGACTTGAGTTGATCTATTGCTGATAAGATCGATGGAACCTGAAGCAAACCTGACTGGCGATCTTTGCAAAGGTATTTTAAAGTATGTTGGCCCTTCAGCTCAATGACCTGGATTTCCGATGAGTTTAAACCCGAACAAACCAGCTTGTGAATGGCTCTCTTGCAACTGTCACAGCTTGTTTGCTTGGTGTTCACTTCATCAACTTTGCACTTGAGGCAGTGCATCGTGAAATTTTTGAGTAAGGATATTTTATTTCCAAAATAACTGGCAAAATGCACAAACTTATAGCACAAGCCGCAGACACCCATCGAGGAGACTTCACCAATATCACGATTATACTTTAAATTGGTAATAAATAGGAACTTTTGAACTGCAACATGAGTGTAAACAATGAAACATTTGATGAAGTCATCATTTGCTAAGTACAAATTACATATACCTAACCAAAACTTTTGCAATCATCCGTAATAATTATTGCTATATTTTCTTTAGAATTTATCGTAACTCTGATATTATTGCTTTAAAAAAAAAAAAAAAATATTTATACTTACAAAGTATCTATATACCATCATTTGTCAGTGGTGCGCTCGGAAGTATGTCAGAATCATTCTCGATTCTCCAATTGATCATTGGCGGTTGATACCTGGTCTGTACCATCACCCGTTCCAGCACACACGACGCCGACAGTCTAGCTTCAGCATCGTGGTCCCAGCATTCTTCCATTGTGTCGCACATGGCCATTATACCGACATGATGACGCCAGTGTTCCTGTATCACAGGTCTAACTTTGTTTTGTACCACACTTTCTTGCATATCCTCTAATGTGGGATGTGTACCCACTTCTTCTTCGAATGGCAATCGATATTCTGGTATCGGTCCATCTTGAGCCTAGATGTTAATTGAATTTAACATAAGCTCCTGGAGACTGGTTTAATGAAAACTTACTTTACATCTCGAAACTAATTCCCATAAAACAAGACCACAAGCGTACATGTCGATTCTCAGAAAAGCGTCTGATGTGAAGTTTATAGCACCTTCTAAAACTTCTGGAGCCATGTATCTATTATAAACCAACAAATATATAACAAAAATGTAAACTAAACATACAGACTCTTACCTTCTTGTGCCGACTTGTCCGTGAGTATCTCCACAAGATTTTCCAGCTTCAAATGTAATGGCAAGTCCGAAATCAGCAATGCAAGCTGTCATGTCACTTTTAAGCAGTACATTTTTGCTTTTAAAATCGCGATGGGCAACGGTGGGCTTGGCCAGTTCGTTTGGTGCCTTTCCAGGTATGGCTTCATGTAGATGCATAAGACCTGAAATAACAAAAATACATGTTATTATAATGCAGTCATATGTAATAAAATCGCCTGTTATTATATGTTCCATGTTCATGACTAATGGGCTCTTTCACTAATTTTTGAAATTGGCATATTTGGATAAAGCAACTAAAAACAGAATTTTCTGTATTTTTACTTTTGAAAAATTCATAGTCCTTCTTGAGAAAACAGAAAAAAAAGAAATACCTCCAAATAAAAACCCAGAATTTATTTCTATGACGTCGCAGCTCGCTATTTGACCGTGTTGCCACTAATTGTCAACATTGAAAATTTGTAATAGATTTAATTCTGAAATGTTCCCAAAATATCATGAAAAGTAGTTAAATTAATTAGTTATGGATTCAAGATTTTATAACATTTTTATTGAAATTATGCTTAAACACAATTTAATATAATTTTCTATGTTTAGTTTTATTTATTTATTTTACGTTGCACTACATTTAGTCACCACCGACAACAGCGCATTCGAACCTTTACCTGCATTTACTACAGGATAAATACAGCAGAGGCGGACAGCTCTTTCCAACAACAAGCGAAATGAAAAATATTTATGCGACGTCAGCAAATCGGCGCGTTTTTAAATAATTCAAATTTTGGTAGTTTATAATGCCTGTAAAAAACTTATTTAACCTTGTAGAACATTTTTTTTTGGTATATGTGCCTAAAATAGTCCCTCCTTTGGGATTTTATACCTAAATTACGTATTTAAATTTTAGTGAAAGAGCCCATTACTAGAAAATGAGTTCTAAAACAGCAGTCTATCGGAAGGGGCAAAATATCTTTATTTTATTCCCTTACCAATTAATCTTAGAATGTTTAAAAAGAGTTATTATTAAAGTTAAATGTTTATACTTTCTACTTCAATCTAAAGTTGACTTGATTCAGTCTGATTTGAAATTATGGTTGATTAATAGCTTGATTTATTTCATATAAGATATTTGAATCAAATAATCTTTACCTCTGGCCATACTCTCAGCAATTCGGCAAAGTTCATTCCAAGTCAAAGTATTTGCTTTCAAATAGTCACAAAGGGAGCCTTTCTCATGGTAAGCTGTTATCAACCAAAGTTCGGCTTGAAGATTATCATTCTTCTTTTCTACCCCAATATACTGCAGAATATTGGGGTGGTCCATGTAGGGTAGCTTAAAGATTTCCTGTTCAGTTTGCCATGACTGTTTGTCCTGTAATTCAGATGATTAACTCGAGTTGTTAAAGCATATACCTAATACAAATACTTACTTGCATAGGGAATATCTTAACAGCAATTTCCTCAGCCTTAAACTTGGCTTTCCATACAGCACCAAAACGACCTCTAGCCTTGATTTCTATTAGTTGAATAGGCCGGCAGTCCAGTTGTGGGGATGGTGGCGGCATTGGATGTGGATCAGATGTTGGCAACTAAACAAGAAAAATTATCAGTTTGTTTAAAATATTAGTGAAAGCTACATCTACCTTGAAAAGATTGTAGCCACTTACTCTCCACTGAGTAGCACAAAAGAAAAAAAATCATTAAATTTTGAGGAATAGTGAGATTTTTATAAGATTATCGCATTTAGAATTTGTGTTTATTTTAACTACTGCTTACCCCATTAAAATAATGCTTATGCCTTCGAGTCCATATGAAGAATCCAATACCAGTGGTAAGACAAACAAACATAACTACTAACGAACTTATAATGTAGTAGATCGTATTTGATTCCTCTATAGTTGGAATAGCAGCTGAAATTTAAGAATAAAATTATTATTACAAATATGTGTAAAATTAGAACTACAGATTGAATTATTCAAATCTACTGATTTTAATGAAACTAGAGGCGCTTTCTTATAAGGTCAGAGTCCAGAAATACATTGTCTGTTTCAATATTTCTTACATTGTTCAATTGCTGCAACCCAAACCCATTAAGTCGTGAAACCCCTAAAATTAACCAATTATATTTGTCAAAGTTGTTTCTGCATTGAATATGAACCTTCGTAAATTTGTGTGAAATAGGTAAATATATTTAAAGAATAAACTCTACTTACTACTTGGTGGTGGAGGTTCTGTGGGGGCAGGTTCCCATGTGAAATTCGAATTGCACATGTCCCCTTCGCAGCAACAAAACAATATGTTGTTTCGCGGACTGTGATTGGTTTCTACGCAAGTTTTCTGGCCGTAGCAATCTTCAGCGTTCAAGAAACAACCCTTTAGAGAAACATTCTTGGATCCGTCGGGTTGTAGCGACCATAGCACAAAGCAATGGTTCCTTTTGTTTTCACCTGGCGTTTCACATTCGGCGACTTCGTCACAGCTGCCAGGATTCGCTGCACAACTGCTATTGTAGAATTCACATTTCGTTGTGGCTGGTGGAGATACCACTGCTGATTCAGCTGAATCGACTGGAAATAGACAAAGTTAATTTGGAATAATTAAGAATGTAAGTAGGAAGCGAGGTATAATTTTGTCCTACATGTCTATTATTTCATGAAAAAATTTCAATATAATATATTTTTGAAAGCATGTTAACAGTTATTTATTTTATTTATTTCAGATTACATTTAGTAATATACATAGGTACAGTGTGTCCAAGATAAGGATGGGATAGCAATAGGATCTGGAGAAATGATGGAGTTACAATGTTGGTTAGATCAGGACAAAGTTGTGCAATAAAATGGTACTTCAACATTTGAAAAATTCCGAGATATACGGGAAAACCGAAATTTTGCAAAATCTATTTTATTTTTTTCTGAGTGAGGGGTTTATTTTACTATACCTTGCTCAGAAAGCCAGAAATTGATGCTTCCTATTGAAAATGTCCAAATTCGACCACCCTGTACTTCGGTGGGACAACCACTGTATTTTGTGCAATTTCCAATTTGTATATGTATCTCTGACTTCTCTTATTCAAATCAAATCAATTATTCAGGCTTATACACATGGTGTTTGCATTCGTCAAAATAGAAAAAAATATGCATATAAATCAAATCAAATCAAATGTGCTTTATTGTCAAAAAAAAATATACATTTTTGCGGACAAAGCAGACTAATTCTAAGTGAATAACAATAAATAAGTAAGTCATAAATAAAATAAATAAACACACACAAAAAAAAACATTAAAAAAAAAAAACAAACAAACGAAAATATGCAAATTATACAATCACCATCAGCCACAAAAAGCACCAGAGCACTTAAATCGTGTCATCATTAAAATATTCCTCAGTTCTGTAGTAGGCCTTTTCGATGAGAAACGTCTTGAGCATTTTTCTAAAATGCTTCAAGCCCCGTGCGTTTCTGATCACGACGGGAAGGTGGTTGAATATTTTTCTTCCCTCATAAATAATTGACCTTTGCACCAGTGCGCTTGAGGGAACCAGCAATGGAAAGTCATGAATTTGCCGAGTGATGCGTACACGAACAGGATCCCGGTCATTTCTTGGGAGAATTTAAGAGCATAATAATTATTACCCAGCCTGCTATGAGTCAATCGTAAATAGTCTGGTCGATAGAGATAGACCTCGTGCATGGCATGGCATAGCAAAAGCATGGAAGACCAGTTTTGTGACTCCAATTTTCAAAAGTGGAGATTAGTCCCTAATTGAGAACTACAGGCCTGTTTCTAGAATTTCTATTTTCTCTAAGATACTGGAAGCGATAATAACGGACCAAATAACACCATTATTTAAAAATTTAATAATTCCTGAACAACATAGTTTCAGAAAAGGGAAGTCCACGACTTCAAATTTGTTGGAATTTGAACAGACTCTGTTTGTCACTTTGGAGGAGGGGTATCAGGTAGATGTGGTTTATACAGACTTCTCCAAGGCATTTGACAGAGTTGACCATAGGATTCTAAAAAATAAACTGGAATGCATAGGTTTTCACGGTAGTTTCTTGGATTGGATTGTTGATCAGCTATCAGGAAGAAAGCAAAAGGTTAAAGTAGAAAATGTTATCTCAACTGAGATTGATATACCTTCTGGAGTTTTGCAAGGCGGACATTTATCTCCACGTCTATTTAACCACTTCATGAATGATGTTAAGAAGGTTTTCACAAGTTGCAAATTTCTAAATTTTGCAGATAACAAAAAAATATTTCTTATTGTTAAAGATATCAGTGACTGTGAGACCCTTCAAAATGAATTTAATCAATTTTATTTGTGGTGTCGAAGGAATCATTTAGACCTTATTTTAGACAAATGCAAAATTATGTCCTTTCGGAGAATGAAAAGTCCTTTTATTTTTGATTATTCAATTGGGGGAATTAATCTGGAGAGAGTTTATGTCATGAGGGATTTAGGTGTCCACTTGGATGTAGAATTGAATTTCATAGAGCACATTGAAAGAATTTTCAACAGAGCTATGAGGTTGTTAGGATTTTTATTGCGTAGTTTGAAGGATTTTAATAATGTATTTACTTTAAGAAATGCCTATTCATCTATTGTCAGGCAAGTGCTGGAGTATGCTAGCCCTGTTTGGTCACCCTACTATGATAAACATAAATATCAATTAGAGCAAATATAGAGGAGATTTTTAAAATTTATTGCTTACAAGTTGAGTATAAAGTATGATTCTATTGATTATGATGAACTTCAGACTCTTCTAAATATGCAGACATTACAACAAAGAAGGGACCAGCAGGACTTGTGTATTTTATATAAAATAATTAACAACATGATTGATTCACCCGAGCTTTTATCAGTAATAGGTTTAAACCTCGGTTTAAACATTCCCCGCAGTAATATTAGGAGCAATAGGTTATTTTCTATTAAAAATCACCGTACTAACTAACTATGGTTACTATTCTCCTTTAACAAGATTCTCTAGACTGGCAAACTCTGTGATAAATAGGCTTAATATAGATATTTTTAACATAAGTCTGCATAACTTTAAAAACAAAATCAAATCCATCTAGTCATAGTGCTTTTTATCCTGTTGAGAGTTTTATATGTTCATATTTTATATTTATATATGTTTTTATTTTATTTATTTAATACTAGCTGTAAGAAGTTACCACATATGTGTTGTTAAAGTTTTCAAATGGTTTTAAATGTTTTGAATGTGTTAAATGTTTTTCTCTAGATTCTATTTGGCATGTAGCACATGAGGTTAAATTCTTTGGATAATAATATACCTACTTTTTTTTTTGTCAGAATTTAGGTTTAAGCAACTCTTATATATTATTATATTGAATATTATGGAATTTATGGAATTTTGGTGTTTTGTGTAGGAGTGGAAATAATGTTTAAGTGAATACTCTTGTACTTTTGCTAGTTACGGGACAAATTTATATTGTATAATTTTTTTTTTGTATATTAGGTTAACCTATTTAAATAAAGATATTTTCAATTATATTACTATTGTTTATTTATTTATTGTAAAGGGCATGTCCGTAAATAAAATTCTATCTTCTATGACTGTGCTCAGGCAGAGTGAAGTTGTCTATTATCGTAAGCTTAGATTAGGCATTTATATACTAGTTTATATAATAAAATACGATGGCAAAGTTAAGATGCTCAGCCCGCCGAATTTACCCCGGACATCATCCCTACATCCCAGCCCTGTAATCAGACGAAGTGCCTTACGCTGCAAGCCAAAGATTCTTACTGCGGCTGGGGCCTGACCCCAGCTTATAAGCCCATAGGATATATGAGAGGCGATTAAAGTATGGTATGCAGTGACCAATACATCCCTTGTTGCTGTCTTAGATAGACATCTGAGAACAAATATGTTTTTAGAGTACTTTGTGGCTAGATAGTCAACGTGAGGCAGCCAATTCAGTTTTGTGTCCAGATAAATCCCCAAAAACTTAGAACACTCTCCATTGTCTGTATTTGTGATTGGTCGTTGGGAGAAGACTAGGTCTATTGTCTTTGATCTGTTAAGGGCCAGACAATTTTGGGAGAACCCTCGGGAGAACCATTGTTGACTTTTGAATAAAAGATCTTTAGAATTTTCCGTTGCTAACAGAAGGTCGGAGTGTCGGCTAAGAAGAGTGGTATCATCCGCAAATAGCGTAAGTGTACACAGTGCAAGCAGGTTTCCGCTTACCAGTAACCAGCGCCGACTCGCGCTTATGAGCGCGAAAAATGAATGCATGTTTTCAAATCGGCTAGTACACAGTAACAAACAGGTAGAGTACCTGCTTTTTACTGTGTTCTAGCCGATTTGAAAACATGCATTCATTTTTCGCGCTTATAAGCGCTAATCGGCGCTGGTTACCGGTAAGCGGAAACCTGCTTGCACTGTGTTTGTACACTAACACAGTTAAGCCCGGGACACATCTATCATGCATTCTTCCGATCCGACTCCGATCATGCAATCAGTCCTTATTCTTGGAACAGGGAGCAGCGTTCCCAGGAGAACGAGTGTTCCGCTGCTTCCCTGTTCCAAAAATAAGGACCTTTATTGTATGATCGGAGTCGGATCAGAAGAATGCATGATAGATGTGTCTCTGGCTTTATCAGGAATTGTGTGTATGAGATCGTTAATGTATACTAGGAACAACGAGGGACCCAGGACTCACCCCTGAATGACACCATTTTTTATTGGTAGGACTGTGGAAGTCTTATTATTGGACTGTACATATTGGTATCTGTTTGTCAGGAATGATTCGATTAATTTTGTAGTTAAGATTAAAATTATCATGTTGCAGTTTTTGTAGTAGAATACCTCGAAGAATACTATGTGCCACACAGTCAAATTCTTTAGTTAAATCTCAAATCACAGAATGTTACGCTTGTGTAAAGCCCCCCCCCCCCTGCCCATCTACAATATGATTCAACAGATTGGCTATGGCTAGTTCGGTGGAACGCATAAGCCTAAACCCATATTGGTGTTCATAGAATAGTTCATTGGACTCAAAGTGATATGTTATTTGCGAGGTTATTTGCTTTTCTAGAACATTTTCTAATAATTTAGAGATACAAGGGACAATTGAAATTGGCCTGTAATTAGTAGGGTTGGAGTCACCGCCTTTATGAATAGGAACAATTTTCAAGATATCAGGGAATACACCAGTTCTGATGACTTCATTTATTAGTTTAGTGATTAGGGCCAGTATTAAATTTTTTATTGATTTTAATATCCTTATGGATATGTCAAAATGGTCAAGGCTGGATTTACATATTCTTCATACCATACAATCAATGATCTCCCTTAGGTCGTTAAAACTAATCTCCATAAAGGCAAAAGGCGGAGGGTTAATAATAAGACTCAGTCCACTTGAAAATACAACCCCTTATCTCGTATGGAATAAGTTTCTGAAGAAGTATGTTTCTGTCCAAGAAATTGAACAGTTTTTATAATACATAATTCTGGAAATATTCCAAGTCCCCATCTTCACAGTGCTTTATTGCATGCATAAATTGAAAAATTGCTGTTTGCATGGATTTTTTCACC